CGATGTACATATGCACAATCTATCTTCCAGCTGCTGACTGTTGGCTACGCGATGGTTCAGAGCACACTACTGATGCTTTCGCACCTCGATCTCCTGGAGCGTCGGCTGAAGTGCACTCTTCTGGTGCATTATCTCAGGGAGGGAAGCCTGAACCCACTCCGTCCGTGTCGAGTCAAGGTATGTCGATGCCGATTCATCTCAACGTCGCGCTTGTTGACTATTTAATGTGCTGAAGGCTCGAGTCGCAAGCGAAGAAGACAGGATCCTGAAGGAATCTCGGACCTATCTGATATATCCCAGGTGCGTTGATTCACACGGGAAGTGCACTCAGCAAATGATGCATTGTATCGACGACTGCCTGAAAACAGAAAACCCCCACCCCATCAAGCTCACATGCAGATCAAACGATACTTAGACGGTACGAAGACTCTCAAGGGAGGGTTATGTACACTTTGGAAGGAACAGACCAGTGCCTGTACGACGAGGAGCTACGCCGCGCTTTCGGGACAGGTCACCGTATTGGTATCAACGCTGAGGTGATTGCATTTTCGGCCGTGCCATAGATATACCATACTGACATGTCTTTTCGGTAGCCTCTCGATCCAGGATACTCAGCAGATGAAGAGTCCGCGGTTGAGGATCAAGAAGTAGAAGAACAAATCAGGTATACTCCCAGCATTGGGCATCCGGTGGATGACGAAGACTTCGTCGAGGATGCGAACATGCGCTCACCCGGCCATATGTCGAGGGAGACGACACCTGGTCCGAAAAGAAAGGATACCCGAGGTGACAGTGACACAGTACGCCCTTTATCTCTCTTGTTCTTGCTATGAGCCTGAGATTAACATCCCGGAAGACTCCTGCAACGTTGGGCGATGTACGGGTGCTTGCCGAGTATATGGGCAGTCTTTTCGGTAAACACACCGAGCTCCTTAGCGAGCTGGTGACTACAGTAAAACATACTTCCATCGCTGGATCATCGAACACAGCCAAAAAGACGTCACCACTCCCTCAAGTTATGGGTCCTCAGCCTCGAGCCGAGGAGCGTAATCTCTTGGCTGTAAGCCTCATCCACCTCTTCCAGAGTTTGCATGCTAAGCGAGGAACAGGAGACGGTAAGGGTAGTGCTTACAGATCTTCTGGGTCGACGTGGAATAGATCCTATTGATGCGAAGGTGGATGAACGTTCCCTAGCTGAATTTCGCAAGAAATATGCAGAGACCGACGGAGACTGCGAGCCATGCACAACCATCCAGAATTTTATTTGCGACGTTGTAACATGCACCCCCAAATCCACATGGAACAAATCTGCCGGTCGGGTCTTTGCTCGCCATGTCGTCGTTGAAGTACTCCATCGTTCAGATAACGAAGACAACATAGACGAAGTTGCTGAAGTCTTCTATACTCGGCTGAAGACTTTGCGACAACAGAGATCGACACTTCGTCAGACCCCTGACCAGATCGCTCATGCGGCTTCAATGGAACGCCGGGATCAGAGAAAATACCAGGTTCGGAGAATTTGTCTTCGTTTCTTGATATTCTTCTGATTACCTTCACTGCACAGCTTTACTGCCGGCGCCGAGATACAGCAGAGAAGTATGCCCCCCTTCGACGTCATCTCGGTCTCTTGGACCAACTGGGAGCTCAGGGGATGTCCAGTGATGAGTCGGTCAGAACTCCCCATGTCGAAGGGCCGACTTACAACTACCTCCATTCCAATTGGCGAGCTGACGAAGTCAGTGTGTGGTTGAACGATTATGATACTATCTATTATTTCGATCGCGCCGCCGAGAGCGATCGGAGAGGGGCTTATCCTCACCGGCGACGTCAAGGCCAGCCTCAAAAGTTGAGCCTACGCTCGAGGCCTGTCCACGGATTACCTATCAACACTTACAGGGCGAGTTGGCTGAAAACGAAGCTTCCGACGTGGGTCAAGAGTGTCTTACGTCCTGCTGCTCAACCGTATGTCTTTTCTAATGATGCTGATTTGCTAAGGTTAGATTACTTTACCTTCCCTCGTTCACTCTATACTATCTGAGCTATGTCGATAATAGGGAGGCTCGCTCCCGGGCGCACTCTACTCGTCATACAGGTAACTAGATGATGGAGCGTTACTGAGGTACGTAGATGCTTGTTTCTTCGATGATTGAAGTCGACGCTTAGCTTTTATCCGATATTTCATCATGCACTCGTACAGAGACACGGGTAACTAGGATTAGCCATCACTCAGTCCATGAAGGGCGGCCTCGTTCTTGGTTGGGCTCATGAATATCACGTACTTAGTATGTTACAATATCTGCGTGTACATACCAAATCCATGCACTGTACTCTTCTCGATTACCAAATGTCAAGGTTAGGACAATGTTTGTCGGATCATTTTATGAAAGCGCCATCGGGGCTGATACCTCATCAGTCTGATGTTAAAGGAAGGTTTATTTGGGGTACAATATTACGGTTTCATACCTATATATGTAGTCAGTACACGCACGCAAAGGAGGCAACTCAGACCTCAGGGCACACATCAGCTCGAAAGCCAGAATATATATTCTAAAACACCTTTCTGGTGAAGACCAATATCTTTGCATCGGCCTAGACTCGAAACATGTCCCGCAAAAACGAGCGTGGTTCAACCGAGTCTGAAGATAATTGTGAGAACAACCACTCCCGGCCCCCATGAATTCACCCGGACATTTCTCGCTTGGAAAAAGCCGATCAGACTATGATGTGCACTGTGATCGAATAGTGTGATAGTACAGACCACCACAAAATCCGCAAGGGCAATAACAAAAGGGTGCGAGAAACAAATATAAGAGCTTACACGCTATTGCAATTCAGGAAAGCAGATCGAAGTACAGCCTCATGGACACACAAGCTCAACAAGGACGAATAATGAAAATAAAAAGAACCTGTAAGCAACAAAAACGGCCACCATGTATGGGACGAGAACTGCAACAACTAGCGCAAAGGGCTACGTAGATAGTAGAGGAAAACAGTGGTGCGAGCATAATGTGCCCCTTCTGCGGATGACGATGGCGGAGAGACCGGGCTCAGTCACGACGATGTCGGCTGCACCTCGCGCAGCATCAATGACACCCTCGACGGCATTACCGACCTCGGAACGAAACAAGGCGAGCGCATCGTTAGCACTGTCACTAGTCATGGCGCAAAGATGACTAAAACCCTAGGAGGAGCAACGCAAGTCAGCATCAAAAAGAGCGAACGATAAAAACAACAATAATGGCGAAAAAAATACCTGAACGTTTCTCTATCTATGATCATTCCGCCGAAAGTGCGACATTTGCCCTCCGAACTTGAGACTATCCTCGAGAGCCTCGGCGGGGTAGATACGGTTGCGGGGATCGAGACGACGGAATGCGTCCCTAGACCTCATTCTAATAACGCCGCCATTCAATGATAAAAAGTGCATCAGTGTAATGAAGGGGAACAGACCACGGAGAATACAAGTCTCACCCTGAACCTTTGGCCTACCGTACCCTCTCTAGTTTTCCCAGACGCCTCCACAATCCGCCTCCACAATCCACCAGAACCTCCTTCGCATTCACATTGTTCAACTCCACCACCGTGCAAGCTTGTTCACTCTCTCCCTCGCAAGCTTCAACTCCTATGTCGATATATGCCTTTGCGATTGTCCGAATGTAGGAGCTGGAGCATCGGGGCCGACGATGTCATCGTTGACTTGAAGGGCTTGGGCTTCGGGACGGACAATGGGCAGGTGGTCGAAGAGGAGGGTTTTCTCGGCGGAGCGGAGGCTGTAGCTTAGTGAATGGGGACCTTGATGCCTAGGGTGTTGACAACTGCGAACAGAGACATTTTTAGTATACGGTGTTCTGGCACATTGAGGAACGAAGACAATAAGCTGGAATGCCATTCTAAGATAAAAGATGACACACCATCGGCACCTTGGTGGACTCAACACCTCACTAACCAGTATCTTCTACGAGTCACATCCCTCCCATTTCGCCTCATCTCCTGGTTTTCGTCCTGAGAGCAACATGAGGCTTGTTTGCGATGGCTACGCGATCGAGCTCGACGCGTTGTCGTTCGTTCGTTTTACGGTTACTTCGGTTGCCGGTATTGCTTGTTGCGGAGAAGCAGGAGCGGGCAAGTAAGATCGGTGTGGTGTGAAGGGAACAAGATAAAGTGAGGGTGGAGGATGTGGAAGCGGTGCGAGAGCCTGGCGGGAATCGAGCGAGTAGAGTGTGGTCTTGGTGCCGAATAAAGAGGAGAACAAAGAAGACATGTGTCTTGCGATAAACGCGAGCAAAGCATGTTCGTGGACATCATTCACAACATTCAGCTAAGAGTACTTGAACGTATCCAGGGTGCACAACGCGCGAGATTGCGGATGGTGCACGATACGCGAGCGCGCGCGGGGCGCGAATGCGGAAGGGAGGAGCTACGGCGAGCGTCACACAAGTACCCGAAAGGGTCAAGCAAGTGCGCGTGCATTGTACACTCGGGTGGGGTGTGGAACTCCAGGAGGGCCTATAGCGAGACGAAGGGGAGGGGAGGGAAAGGTGTATAAGCAACGAAAGTGCCATTAAATGGATAGAGAACGCAAAGGAGAGCGAGAGGGACGCTCGCTTGCTCTGAATCTAACTGGATGATGCCGCTGAAGTCATTGACAGAGGAGAAGAAGATGTGTGCGCAGGTGAGGATGAGGGCGAGAGCAAGCTCAGCTCGCTCGCTCTGGTACGTGTAGGCGCCCGCCGACGTATCGTGGGTTCCACAGACGTATTGGCGGTGAAGGAGATGACGTGGGATAAGGACCGAAAGAGAAGGAAAAACGAGCAGAAACAAAACGAAACGAACAAAACGGCACTAAACAACATGAAACAAAATGAACGTACCGGTCGGCCAAAGAACTCCCACGTTCTCTACTTCCTGTACATGTCTTAGCCGCATATTCCGAGCCGTCCTCCTGTCTTCTCGTACTAAATATCCTTCGGATTCTTGAACCGACAGGCGCGCGTGCGTATGCTGACGCACTCAAAGGAGAGCGACGGAAGCGGGGATGATCGCTTGGTCCTTCGGTCTGGCTC